AGGATCATGTGGTTCTTGTCCTTTATTTTATTAAAGTGATGTATCATGTTGATTGATTTGCAGATATTTGACCAGTCCTGCATTCCAGGTATAAATCCCACTTGATCGTGGTGAATAATTATTTTGTGTATTGTTGGATCCAGTTGGCTAGTTGAGAATTTTTGCATCTGTGTTCATCAGGGAAATTGGTCTGCAGTTTTCCTTTTTAGTAGGGTCTTTGTCTGGTTTTGGAATCAAGGTAATGCTGGCCTCATAAAATGAGCTTGGAAGTTTTCCTTCTATTTCTATTTTTTTGGAACAGCTTCAAAAGAATAGGTGTTAACTCTTCTTTAAATGTTTGATAGCATTCCTCTGGAAAGCTGTCCAGCTCTGGACTCTTGTTTTTTATGAGATTTTTGGTTTTCACATTTTTGGTTGAATATTCTTTGCCATAATATCTAGGAGGAAGATACATGGAGGTTACTTATTGTTTTAACCACAGTTGTTTATTATTATTATTATTATTATTATTATTATTATTATTATTTTACAGTAATTCTTAATGAGGGGATAGATCTTTGATAGTCATTGGGTTGTTTGTTTTTTACAAACTGTAACTTCTCATGTTGTGCAATGCTGTCCCTGATGAGAAGTAATTACCCCCCTGAGAGTCATTGCCTTAGTTAAGCACAGATTAGAATAGGTTTTATAACTTTTTATGTATATTTGTGGAGACAAATGCATGAGTATCATTGATCTAAAGTGAAGCAGAAATCTTTCTTTCAGTATTTGGTTTATGTAGTTAATCAACAGCAACCTCCAAAATTTCTGGATTTTGTTCTATGGATCAGAAATCTCAATCACCAAATTGAAGTCTATTGCTGCCTTTCTGCCATTCCTCTAAGGCTGAGAGCCCCTGTCAATTCCTGCCACTGTGGCTCTTCCCGCCACAACTCAGCCACAGTTTGCTAGAGTTCTCATTGGAGAGAGAATGGAAATTACGGCAAACCAAGTTCAGGACTTGACTGTCAATATCCTCATTCCACTCTGCTGCCTCTTTGATATTCCAACCCCCTTAGGGATATACACAGTGAGATCTCGTGTTACCTGAAGTATCCCTGTTGAGCACTCTTGAAGTTACATGCTTATCCCAAGAACAGAGGCAAATGTGACATTTAAAGGGACTTTTTACTTCAAATTGAATGTAGGGGTGACAGTTGCACAAGCAGTTACTTGTCAGAGTTTAATCACTAAAATCTATAGACTTTCTCCCCAGGTTTAGTATACTGAGACCTTCTTTGAGAAAAATATTCTGATTTACTTCAAAACACTTCAGATTTAGAGTCAAAATACTACTGGCCTTGCAATTTACTAGCTGTGTGTGCTTGAGCAAGTTACTCCATTTCCTCTGCTTGTTCCTTTGATTTTAAAATATGAATATATTGCCATAATACCTACCTTTAATTCCCATAGTGACATGGTTGCATAAATGGAGATGATGTCTGTGTGAATGCATGATACTTATTATACGTGGTGAAAGTCATGTTCCTTGCTTAGACATGAAATCAATATTATTTTATATGCTGAGATCATCTTGAATCAACATAATGTAAAAGATGCTTATTTTTATTTACATGATCAATAAAGTTTCAAACCAGTTCATTTGTAATGACACAGGACCTTAAAAATAAAAAGTGATTTTGCAATCAAGTGTGCAAATAAGGTAAACATTAGGCATTTTTATAATTAAGATAATGTGAAGTTTTTAATAAGCTGTATTACACATGGACTGCTACCAGTGCACAGTCACTGTCTTACTTCTTTTATAACAGTGCCTTTAGTATTCCACTGAAACGTGGCCAGTGAATGTACAATATTCTTAGTTACTATTATGAGGGGGCTCTGTATATTACGTCTCCACTGTGTCTGCCGTTAGCTAGAAAAATGCTGGGAGGAACAGCAGCTTCTATCAACAGGGAGCCATATTAATTATTTGAAATGTGCCTCATAAGAGGAATCAGCAGAGTTTATTACAAGTCGAATATTACTTGAAACGGGAAGGTTACTCTAACTGTTATCATAATCTATGTATCATTAACTTTCCTTGTTTAGGAAAAGAGATTAACAACCCCGTAAATGGCTATAGTAAATGTGTAAAATATAACTGCATATTCCCTTTGTAGAAGGAAAGTGGTGGGTATTCCACTCATACCCAAACCTTTTTTAGAAATAGCTTTAAAAAGTAGCTTTAGCAATTGGACTGACTCTGTGATCGTGCTTTCTTACCTCACGATTCTAATTGCTTACAGAATCATCAGTATGCAATGAGTAGCTACTTTGAACATTAGAAAAATTTTTAGTTTTTAAGCTAGCAATTTTTTCAATCAGCATCTTGGCCTTCAAATCAACACCTTAACTCGTAAGACAGAAAGTATATTACAAATATGTTTGTGAGCTGGCAGAATGTTTTACAAGGAATAGAAAATGAATTCATCTGCCTAGTTTTTTTTTAAACATTTATTTATTACTTTTGAGAGATAGAAAGAGACAGAGCACAAGGAGAGGTGGGGCAGAGAGAGAGGAAGATACAGCAGTAGGCTCCAGGGTCTGAGCTGTCAACAACAGAGCTGGACATGGGGCTCGAACCCACAAAATGTGAGATCATGACCTGAGCTGAAGTTGGATGCTCAACCGACTGAATAACCCAGGTGCCACAATCTGCCTACTTTTTATATCATGGCTAAGTATTGTTTTTTCCAAAAATTACACATAGCACGAAGGGGTACTTTTCTTCAAATAACAGAAGTAAATTATAAAAAAATAAAATACAAATAACTAGTTATAAAGTTATCTAAGTAAGTGCTATCAGAGTGTTATTTGACATCGATGCCAGTCTGAAGACTGTATATTACTGGTCTGCAATGAAATAAGTGCGTAAATTGAGAATAAGTCTTTAGAAACAGGGCAGATTGACAGATTACGTATTGTCTGTTTAATAACAATAAAAAACGTGGACTTATTTTTTCATGTCTTTTTTCCTTCCATTTTATTATTTTTTTGTAAATCATTTATGTTGTATTTTTAAAAGTGTCATTCCACAATGGGTCTGTAATCCAATAATAGGAAACAAATGGTAGTTTAAGAAGGACTGATATGGGGCGCCTGGGTGGCTCAGTCGGTTGGGCCGCCAACTTCGGCTCAGGTCATGATCTCCCCGTCTGTGAGTTCGAGCCCCGCGTCAGGCTCTGTGCTGACCGCTCAGAGCCTGGAGCCTGTTTCGGATTCTGTGTCTCCCTCTCTCTCTGACCCTACCCTGTTCATGCTTTGTCTCTCTCTGTCTCAAAAATAAATAAACGTTTAAAAAAAAAAAAAAAAAAGAAGGACTGATGTGATTGGTTGGTATTTGGATGATGCATAATGCTCCTGTGTTTGAATAGATCTGTCGACACAGTTTGATGACAGTTAATTCAGTGTGAAGAAAGATAATGTGATATCACACAAATCAAATATATATATGTATAAAGGCGTAACTTCAATGTCTTCTTAATATTTATTTTTGGGTCAACAGGGCAGGCACATCATGGGCAGGTGTCATACATCTCTCCTCCAATTCACCTGGACTCTGAGCTAGAAAGACCCCCTGTGAGAGGTGAGTTGTTTATTATTATTATTACTATTACTATGGTTATTATTATTTAAAGAAAAAGAAACTATTTGTTATTTTGACGGAGACAATTAATTAAATTATAGATAGTTATAAATATGTATTTGCAATACAGTACCTGTTTAAAAAGCGGGGGGGGGGGATTGTATATAAAGAATTTGAGAACAGAAAGAGCAAATATTATTCGTAAACTAAAGTATGAAATACTGTTCTGAGAAATATTCATAAAACAAAATAAGAAATAGAGCTATATTGTGATTCAACTAGTGGAGGACTAGTTGAAAACTAACCTAGATTTAGAGATCACCAGATAACCATTACTTTTTTTTTTACTAAAACTTTCTTCTACTTGTTTTAAAAGAAATTAAGATGCTTTAAACTAAGTCATATTGACATTTATTTCCTTGCAACATAATATTTTATATTTTGTTATGTTTTAAAAAATCATTATGGCATTAATATGATCATTTAGTTTTTAAAATGTATGTTAAAATTACATTTTTTAAATTGATACCATCAGTTTAAAGATTTTTAAAAATGACCAGCCATACAAAATAAAAATTAAAAGTATCATTTGTTTTCCCATATCTAAATACAGAATTTTTATACTTTTAAATAAATATTATTATTTTCAACATGTATTATAATGTTCAAAGTTGATGAAATTGATATAGACTTTTTTTTTATAAATACCAAATATTCTGAGGTTAATTTGGTTTTTCAGATTTAAGTGATTCAGGATATTTTCTTACACCTTCAACAGTATCAATCACTTGATACAATAAAAGTCATTAGGTCTGCCTTTTATGAGCAAGTTTTCTATACATGTTTCTTCCTCTGCCAGGAATCTCTTACCTTTTCTTTTCTGCGCAGTTAGTTTCTGCCAGTGTTTGAAGGCTCTGCTTTATCTTCAGTTCCTCTGTAAAGGCTTCCTTGGCTATGCACTAGGGAGAAGGGAGTGTATCTGTTCTCTGAATATCCCCTGTGCTTGCCTCAGTTATTACATTTAAGACATCCGTGTCTTATTTTTCAGCATGCATATTTTATACTGAAGAGACATAGCATTTGAGTGAACAGACTTAGGGAAAAGGAGCAGAAATGCCTCTAAATTAATATGGATTAACTGCTTGGATGCTTAAGACATAATCCTTCATCATGAGGAATAGATGAATTTTAAATTGGTGCATTGTTTTAGACATGTTAATCCTTAGTAGAATATTGTCCCTACCAAAGATGGAGGTCCATTTATGCAAGTTGTTGACTTTAGTATAATTCATTTCTTCTGACATCCCAGTCTGATTTGGGAAGAGTATGGTAAAATCAGGCGTAGGGTAGTATAACAGTACACTCCAAAATGTAGTAGTTTAAAACAGGAAACATTTATTATAGTTCTCACACTTACTTGAGTTGTGTGTGTGCTAACTTGGCTGTTAGATGTTAGAAGTTAGATGTTTAGGAGCTAGCAAGTTGGTTGGTTTTATAGGGGAAGGAACTCAGTCACATGCTTGATAGTCACCTTAATGTCATCTGGGATGATGGCCGTATGGCTGTCATCACCAAGCAGTCTAGCACAGGCTCATTCTCATTATGACAGGATTCCCAACAATAGGCAGACAAGTCCCAAAGATCAAGTATTTTTCAAGACTCTGCTTGTATCATGTTTGTTATGTCTCATTGGCCAAAGTAAGTCACGTAGCCAATCCCAGACATAAAAAGGGAGAAAAAGACTCTATATTTTGATTGGGAAGCCACAATCCAAAGGACCATGGATATAGACAAGAGGGGAACTGGGATCATTTCAGACTACCATAGCAAAGCTGAAAAGGGTAAAATGAGTTTAGAATGAAATAAGACAAACATTGGTAAAATGAAGGGATTTAGAGGCAATTAACTTAAACATGGGAGTTCCAGACATTTTATCATTAGTTTCCTCAACTACTAGGCAGAAGATCAGAAATAACAACTTTACAGTGTCTTTGTGAGGATTAGGGATAATATAGAATAGAATTTGTCATGTGGTAGGCCCTAGATAAAAAATGTGGCTTTTACTATGTACTTTTGTGGTCACTTCTATAGCATATGGGAGAAAATTGGAGTTTGAAGCCAGGCAAACCTGTAAGACCTTAGGCAGCTTCTGTCTGTCATCTGTAAAACAAGGATAATAATGTCACCTGAGCCAAGTTCATTAGGGTAATTACGTAAAATAATAAGTATCAAGTTCCTGGCAAATACTTGACATAAACTAGACCCTGAAGGGTTAGAAGGTAGGTAGGCATTATTAAAAGTTACCCCTTAAAATGGCATGGTCTTGGGGTGCCTGTGTCTGGCTCTTGATTTCAGCTCAGGTCTTATCTCACGGTTCATGCGTTCAAACCCTACATTGGGCTCTGTGCTGACAGCTTGGGATTCCCTTTCTCCCTCTCTCTCTGCCTCTCTCTCTCAACATAAACTAAATAAACTTTAAAAAAAAAATAAATAAAATGACATCATCTTGGTCAAAATAGTGATGGTATTGACCTGGTAAAGAATGAATTACTAGAATCCAACACTCTGCTGCTCTCTCCCTCAAATCGCACTCTTAGAATGACTGTCTTGATAACTTCTAGTTCTCTTAGCATTCCTTTCCATGCATTGACCCAGAGCCATTCCTAGACTGTTCTGTGATTAATACAATTACAGTTAAGAGTTATTAGCTCATGTGCTACAATACTGCAGTATTCAAAAGAGGACACTTCAACAGGTAAATAAAGAGATTTGTATAAATCACCATAACACTGAAAAAAATCTTGGCCTTTTAAAAAAAAACTATCTCGTAATTCATTTAAAAACAAATATTAATAATGGGATCGAGTTGCCATAGTAACGCCATTACTTTGGAGCCACAACATATTTCCCTTCAACTTTCAGCCATCACCCCCCTTCATTTGTTATTTTTAATTAACTATATACTGTTATTTGTACTTTGTATGCAGTCAAATTATATAAATGAACTCTAGATATGTCTATTACTGTCTATATCTAATACAGAGAGAATTTCTCAGGTATATTCTAGGTTTTTATAAGAATTTATACAATAAGATATCAGGTTCTTTAAATAATATGGAATTCTAGCTCCAATACTTGGAATTTTTTATGTGAGATATATAAAAATATCCTTTGAAGTATCTAAAAACTGACATTACCTAACCTGCTTTCCTTTTTCTATTTTTCTACTACTATAATTATATATGTATTGAGAATATAAGACATTTGTGTTGATATTTCTAACTCTCTCTATATTCTGTGTCTCTATATTATCTTATTTTCCCTTCCTATACCAATTTCCACTAGTCTACCTGCATGTTGATGTCTTAGGAATTATTGCTTTATATATTAATTCTTTATGTATTTTGTAGGCTTATGTTTTTATAAGGAACTCATATTTAATTTTCTGACATTCATTAAAGTAGCCATATAAAACAGCAATGTCTCAGGGCGCCTGGGTGGCTCAGTCGGTTAAGCATCTGACTTCGGCTCAGATCATGATCTCGCGGTCCGTGGGTTCAAGCCCCATGTTGGGCTCTGTGCTGACCGCTCAGAGCCTGGAGCCTGTTTCAGATTCTGTGTCTCTGACCCTCCCCCGTTCATGCTCTCTCTCTGTCTCAAAAATAAATAAACTTTAACAAAAATTAAAAAAAAAAATAAAATAAAACAGCAATGTTTAAAATGTTATTACTATGGTTACCAATATTAACACAAGGGACTCTTCAGTAGAAAATGTTAACTACCTAACACTCAGAAACACATCAGATTGCTTCAGATATCTTGTCATTTTATTCTGTTCTCATCTGAAATATTTTGAATTAGTTGGTACTTTTTTATGTATATATAGTGATTGTGCTCTGAGTATTTGAGATAGTGAGCTAATAATTGGTAACTTTGGAATTGTGTTGTAAATAATATTCTGAAAAATAATTAAATAATTATATCTCAGGGGTGCCTGGGTGGCTCAGTCGGCTACGCATCCAACTCTTGATTTCAGCTCAGATCATGATCTCACAGTTAGTGAGATCGACCCCCACATCAGAGCTTGGGATTCTCTCTCTCTCTCTCTCTCTCTCTCTCTCTCTCTGCTCCTCCTCCCCTCTCTCTGAAAATAGATGAACATTTAAAAAAGTAATAATGGGATACCTAGGGGTCTCAGTCAGTTGAGCATCCAACTCTTGATTTTGTCCCATGTCATAATCTCAGTTTTGTGAGTTTGAATCCCATGTCACTGACAGTGCAGAGCCTGCTTGAGATTCTCTCTCTCTGCCCATCCCCAGCTCACACTCTTTCTGCCTCTCTCAAAATAAATAAATAAACTTAAAAAAATAAAAATAAACCAATAATAATAATTATTATATGTCAAAAATCACATTTTTTTCATATTTTCTTTTTTTATTCCCTCAAGTTCTTTATCACCTGTGAATCATTTTGATTTTAATCCACGTGTCACTATTTTCCCTCCTTTCGGTTGTCTTGATTTCTTTCAGCTTTCTATCATTTTTTAGGAAAAAAATATGACATTCATGCATTTGTTTGTCATAATATGTTTCTTTTTTAGTATTGTGCATTTTAATTCTGACCAACATGCTCTTAGTAACCATAGGAAAATGTACTAGCAAGTTACTAAATAGCCTTGAATAAAATGTAATCTACATTTCAAAATAGCAGGAGTTTATAAATTCTGTGGAACTTACCCACAGATTAGTAAATTTGAGAGATTCTGTTCTTTAAGTCTAATGTGATCCTACGTGGCATTTGGTTACATAATTTATGCCTGTGATGGCTTTATCTGCATTCTTCAATTTACAGATTTTATTACTGAATAGGGGTGTAAATTCCAATAGTTTACTAGTGCATTAATGTCACAATATATTACAAGGTAATTAACCAGAGCTGCCACTATAAATAGAAAAATTGTCACAGCCCTCACTATAAACTACTTAATAAAAATAAGATCCTGAATCAGCATTCACCACTGTAGTAATTTTTCTTGCCATATGTCTCATTAATCAGGACTTAAAAAAATAGGCTCATCTAGAAGCACCATTATTTTTAAACCTTTCATTATTAAAACAAGTTTGTTATAATTTCTAGTAAATTTAATGGGATTGATTATATGTTTCTGAATGCAAATATGTTCTACATGCTTTTGAGACATGTTTCCCCATTTTTTATACTATAATTGGGAATGAAAAACTACTTCAGTGGTTTGTAGCAGATTTGTGAATAAACGCATTGGAGTTCTTAGCAAGATTCATTAAGAGTTGCAGTTCTGGAAAAAAAAAAAAAACAAACAAACCAAGTTGCAGTTCTGAAGGTCATGTGTCCTCTCCAACTGTGCTTTGTCCCTGACCTTTCGTTTACATCCCTAGTACTCATAATGCAAAACCTCTTACCCCAGAGTGTGTCTGTATTACGGGCAGAATGACTCAATGAAGTGCTTGGGTGGGAGTTTGTTTGGAAGCTGAATCAGAATCCTATCAGCAGAGGTGTCTATTATTTGAAATTCAGATACACCAGTTGAGGCATGCCCTGGAGTTGAGACTTTATTGTTTTGTTTTTGATGTTGTTTTGCTTCATTGTTTTCCTGTATAATTGTGTGAGAGCCTTAGCAATTATAGAACCCAACCTAGGAATTCTTCATAACATCACTAGCAGTTCAAGTTAGATAAATTCCTGTCAAGAACTAAGAAAAGACATTCTTTTCTGAAAAAGTCTGAGTGATACTTTTAATGTTCTACTGTATAAAAAGTTTGACAGTTACTGGTACTCTCCACCTTCCAATACAGTGAACAACTAGTAATAAAGCTGGTGAAACCAGTATGTTTAGTTTGTATAATCTTTCTTTAGGTAAGATCTTATATTTAATTAGAAGCCTAATGTCAAATAAGCTAAAATATTTGGGTAATTGGGAGATTACATCTATTTTTTTTTAAATTTGCTATAATAGAGTAATATAAATATGGTTCAATTGGCACATAATCAATGAACTAGAATAATGCCAGGCATTAAGTTTCATGTGCAAATGGAATTACATTCAGCAAATCCACGTTGAAAATATTTTTTAAAGTTCAAAATAAACAGATGGTCCTGCCTGGTGCATCTATATTAAAAATAGGCTATAGCCAAAGATTTAGCATCACACATTAGAGACATTAGCGCACGATATTGTCTAGTGGAATGTAAAAACATTTGAGATTGATTAAAATAAAATAAGAACAAGACATCTGGCATTCTTATTGAGGAGACTCCAGGCCTATTTTTTAGTATTCTTCGTGTGTTTTCTTTTTTTTTTTTTCCTAACTTATCTTGTTAGCAGACATTATATGGTAGAACATAATTTCCTAGTTTTATCCACCCTTAACCCAAGGGAATAAACATGAAACTTGCATATAACAGATTGCTTTGACCACGTTAAATAACGTGCTTTTCCCTCACTTGTAAATGCCAAACATTTTTTTGTACAGTGTGTTAAAGTACACTGCGAATACCTACAATATAGAGCTTGTGAATGGTAAACATCATTCCCATTTATGAAGTATGTGTCTTGTGTCAGACACAGGAAAAAGTATTTTACCTGCATTGTCTCATTTAAGTCTTACAAGGACACTATCACTTTTTCATTCAGACTTACTCGTCATCATCATCGTATTTCTAGAGTCATGTATACTCCCGTAACACTTTATGGTAATAATTGAATTGGGTTGGATTTAATTGAAATTAAATTCTAAATGGTAAAATATACTTTTCATTCAATATTGTTAGGGATAAGTGAGTTTTATAAATTATAACATACTCTGCAAATATAAGTTATTATTTAAAAGCCAACATTTATCATTTGAAACAACTTAGCACAATCCTGCAGGCCCTTGTGGTACATAATTCATATGTTGAGAATAATTATTCCAGGGAGTAGTGTGACCTGGTAGATTTTTGCAGTAGGTTCTTGGTCATCTTGTTCTGGTAGTTTCTCAATAAGCCTGCATGAGAAGGGAGATAGAGATTGTTTGGATTCTACTTCCACACTGGCTCATGGAATGATATTCTTAGTACTCAAAAGGTATTAAATAGAGGCTTGATATCGTTGTGATCTGAACATCCTCCTTCAGGTTCAGTGTGGCTGGTAGCAGATCCAGTGGTAATGATCCTTGACTCGAATGTGATGTTTCCTCCATGGAGCCTGTTGCTCAGGGAATGGAAAGTCTCTGGAACTAGGATGTGTGTCTAAGCAGCTATGACCAGGGTTCAGTTCCTTGAATTTCATACTTCCCTACCTGACGCCCCTCCCCAGCTCCCTGTTTTCTCTCCTAAGATTGCTCACTAGCCCAGCCCTCCTATGATCGCTCCTATGGATTCTAGGACTGACCTATCTTTGTTTTATTTGGCTTTTATTCTCATTCAAAAAGATGAGAGTGTAGCTGCTTTATCTTGTTCAGAGAGAAAATATTTAGCGTTTTCTGAATGTCACAACTTCTTATCACTAGTCAGTAATAATGATAGTAATAATAATAGTTAACATTTATTATTCAAATTAACTTTTAAAAATCGTACAAACTGAAAATTATCCATATGTCCTCCTCTCTCCCAATTCCCATAGAAAACCAATCATAATATTTTTCTGAATATTCCAGTAGATACCATCTTTTTTGAGTGGACATGGTTAGAACATTTAATATTTACACATAACATTTGTGCCTGGCTGTATTTGAAGCATATGATATGGATCATTATTTCATTAATTTCCTGAATCTCATGAAGCAGGTAGTATTCTTGTTGTAATTTTGTGAATGAAAAAACTGAGCCGTAGAGAGATTTTTTTTAACTTCATAAAGGTCAGATTAAATATTACACATTGGAACCAGGTTCAAGCCCAGGCATCTATAAAAATTCTGCTCTGTCAGTTTTTCATTTATACAAAAGGAACTATGACTTAATTTCCAAAACAACATACTTTAGCCAGTAATTAGTAATGAAACATATTACCACAAAGGGTGGGGGGGGGGGTCTAACTATCCACAGTATGGTATTTTAAAGAAAAATCCTCACCCATCTCTATTAGTCATCTTAAGAACAGAATATGGCACAAAAGTTGTTTGTGTGTCTGTTGTCTTCTTCAATAAAGTAGAATATCTTTGTTCTAATGTTACACTGTTCCTTTTTGCTCTTTTCATAAAATATCTTTGTGTTTCTCTCAAAAAAAATATTTGAAATCATACCATAAAACAAGAAATCAGACATTGTGATAAGATGTTATTTTTGTAGTTTTAAATATTCTCTCCCACAAATGCTTCTTATTATTTATGAAAATAATTTTATACCAGTATACTAAAAATAATTGTCTTATTGCCTGGAGGAGACAGCTAGCTGACAGTTGTGTTGACTGCTACTACCAAAGCCTGGCGTGGGACAAGGAGGAGGTTTTGACTTCCAGATGGAAGAGTCACCCTTATTGCCACCTACTGAATGTTCACGGCTGCAGGGTTTCCAATTTTTTGGTGTACTCATGCACATGATCCTGCCCTTCCGGAGTATCTTCTTTAATATAACAATTCTTAGTTTACAATAGATGTAAAAGACAACATGATAAAATTTATATATGATAAGTCCTTAAATTTTAAAATACCTTTTACTCTGAGTCAGTTGCCTAAAATTAGGTAAGATCTCTTTTCTCTAGATACATCTGGATCCCTAGACAGTAAGGACAGTAAGCATTGGGACTGTTAAGGACGCAACATCCACTTACATATCACTAGTCAGCAAATGAGGATCTTGTTTCTTCCGCTGCTAAAAGGCACATTCTTCTCTATTGAAAGCGTTGACTTTGGCTATTATTCATCCTGTAACACCCCAAAGAGTATTACCTTCACACGAAGAGGCACTTATCTCCCCCAGTGTGTACTAAGAAGTACTTTTCTCTGTTAGTTGTATCTCTGCGTCCAGCAATTATTTTCAGTCCTTGAGTTCAGGGAAAAAAAAAAAAAAAAAGACAATTTCCCTCACTGGAGCAGATGCTCCTGTTAAGTTTGGCATCACATTCTCCTAGATGGAATTACATGGAAGTATACAGCATAAATATTAATGCTTGTTAATCTGATAAATCCACCCCGGTTGCTAACTATATGATCACAGAAAAACTTGTATAGCCACAGCAACAACCTGTTTCCCAAGATTGTTTAAGTATCAAATAACAAATATGATATTATATGTGAAACTGACCCATACCCTATAAAATGCTATGTAAATATTGCTTAATATAATTTAGAAGCAATCTTTATCGTTCCAGTCTAAGACTCAGTATGGCTCAGACATGGTGAGATCAAGAAAATAAGTCCTCAAGATGGTTTGCAATGTTCTTATCCTCCTCAAATCCTACTGGCTTAATTATGATGTAGTTTTACATTAAAAATAACCATTTTTTTTCTGTAAATGTCTATGCCTTTAATTTCAAACACGTATCAGACAAGAAAACTATATGTTAGCTTTTCTCTGTGCCCCTCTGAAAGACTAACTTTCCTTCAGTACTGACCAAATATTTTCTATGTGGTTGCATCTTATGCATGGGTTAGAGTCTGAAGTTAGTGAGCAAGGTCAAAACAAAAACAAAAATATAACCCACCTTCAAACATCCTCTAAATTATCCATAAAATACAATATATCCAACAGTGAGTTATTCCTCAATATCAGGAAATGTGAAAATAGAAATACCTAAAACCTCCTTTGGCTGTGGCGATGCGTGGTGAACAGTGTGGGGAGACAGAGAACTGAGGGAACACTGTCCCTATCCTCCTGTCACTCTGGACCATGCTGTCATTGATTAAAATGCTAAGTGGATTTTCCCCCAAATTCTTTCTGAATGCATATCGTTGAATTTAAGTCAGATGAATTTTGATGGGACAGTACTATACTGACTGCCAACTATTTGCCATGCATTTTACAGGGGACTGGCAATACAGCCCACATGGGCTTTACCGTGTATCGGAGAAAGTCAACAATAGATCAATTATGTAATGACATAATCAAGGGGTGTATGGGTGGCTCAGTCGGTTAAGCATCCGACTTCATCTCAGGTAATGATCTCATGGTTCATGGTTTCGAGCCCCATGTCAGGCTCTGTGCTGACAGCTCAGAGCCAGGAGCCTGCTTCAGATTGTGTGTCTCCCTCTCTCTCTGCCCTCCCACACTCGTGCTCGGCCTCTCTCTCAAAAGTAAAATAAACATTAAAAAAATCAGAAGAAGAAAAAAAGAAAAGAAAAACCACTCAGCTGAACTGTGAAGAATGAAAGTGAATGTGTATTGAGTTGTATCAGTTCTTTATATATTTTGGATACTAACTCTTTATCAGAGATGTCATTTGAAAATACCTTCTCCCATTCAGTAGGTTGCCATTTAATTTTGGTGATTGTTTTCTTTGCTGTGCTGCTTTTTATTTTGATGTAGTTCCAATGATTCATTTTTGCTTTTGTTTCCCTTGCCTCAGGAGACATAATCTAGAAAAATGTTTCTGCAGGCTATGTCGGATTGCTTTCTATGCTCTCTTCAGGGATTTTTATGGTTTTAGATCTCACATTTAGGTCGTTTATCCATTTTGACATTATATTTGTATAAGTGTAAAAAGTGAAAGAAGTGGTCCAGTTTCATTCTTTCCTATGTTGCTGTCCAGTTTTCCCAACACCATTTGTTGAAGAGACGATCTTTTCCCTGTTATGCATTTATTCCTCCTTTGTTGAAGATTAAGTGACCATATAATCGTTGGTGTATTTCTGGGTTTTCTGGTCTATTCCATTGATCTATGTTATCTGGTTTTTGCCAATACCATGCTGTTTTAATTACTACCACTTTGTAGTAAAACTTAATATCTGGAATGGTGATACCTCCATTTTTTTTTTCCTTTTTCAAGATTACTTTGGCTGTTTGAGATCTTTTGTGGTTCCATACAAATTTTAGGATTGTTTGATCTAGTTCTGTGAAAATGTTGTTGGTATTTTCATAGGGATTGCATTAAATCCATAGATCACTTTGAGTGTATAGACATTTTAACAGTATTTGTTCTTCTAACCCATGATCATGGAATGACTTTCCATTTCTTTGCATTGTCTTGAATTTTTTCATCAATGTTATATAGTTTTCAGAGTACAGGTGTTTCACTTTTTTGGTTAAGTTCATTCCTAGATTTTGTTTGGTTGTTTGTTTTTGGTACAAGTATAAATTGGATTTTCTTAATTTCAATTTCTGCTGCTTCAGTGTATAGGAATGTAGCAGATTTCTGTACATTGATTTTGTATCCTGCAACTTTACCGAATTTATTTATCAGTTCTAGGTTTTTGATAAAGTCTTTAGGATTTTCATATATATAGCATCATGTCATCTGCAAATAGACTTTTATTCCTTCTTTGTTAATTTGGGTACCTTTTATATTTCTTTATGTTGTCTAATTGCTGTGCCTAGGACTTCCAGTGCTATGTTGAGTAAATGTGATGAGAGAGGGCATCCTTGTCTTGCTCCTGACATTAAGGGAAAAGCTTTCATTTTTTCACCATTGACTATGATGTTGGCTGTGGGTTTTTCATATGAGACCTTTATTATGTTGAGGTATGTACCCTTTAGACCTTCTTTGCAGAGGGTTTTTATCATGAAGGATGTTGTACTTTGTCAAGTGTTTTTTCTGCATCTATTGAAAGGATTTAATGGTTTTTATCTTTTTTTTTCTTATTGATGTGACATATCATGTTGATTGTTTTGTGAATATTTTTTTTAATTTTTTTTTCAACATTTTTATTTATTTTTGGGACAGAGAGAGACAGAGCATGAACGGGGGAGGGGCAGAGAGAGAGGGAGACACAGAATCGGAAACAGGCTCCAGGCTCCGAGCCATCAGCCCAGAGCCTGACGCGGGGCTCGAACTCGCGGACCGCGAGATCGTGACCTGGCTGAAGTCCGGACGCTTAACCGACTGCGCCACCCAGGCACCCCTGTTTTGTGAATTTTAAACCACGCTTGCATCCTGCGAAAAAATCCCACTTGATGGTGGTGTATGATTTTTTTAAATATATTATTGGATTCAGTTTGCTAATATTTTGTTGAGGACTTTTGCATCTATATTCATAAAATATGTTTGCCCATAGTTCTCTTTTTTTGTGGTGTCTTTATTAGGCTTTGGTATCATGTGTCTTTATCTGACTTTGGTATCAGTGTGATACTGGTTTCATAGAATGAATTTAGAAGATATATATATATATATATATATATATATATATATATATATGAATAGTTTGAGAAGAATAGGTATTAACTCTTCTTCAGATGTTTGGTAGAGGGGCACCTGGGTGGCTTAGTCGGTCGAGTGTCCAACTCTTAATTTCAGCTTAGGTCATGATCCCAGAGTCGTGGGATACAGCCCTGCATCAGATTCTGTGCTGAGCATGGGGCCTGCTTAACATTCTCTCTCTCTCCCTCTGTCCCTATCCCCCACTCATGTGTGTTCTTTCTCTCTCTAAAATTTTTTTAAAAAGTTAAATGTTTGGTAGAATTTGTCTGTGAAGCGATCTGGTCCTGGACTTTTGTTTTTGGAGAGTTTCTTGATTACTTATTCAATTTCATTACTAGTAATCAGTCTGTTCAAATTTACTATTTCTTCCTGCTTTAGTTTTGGTGTTATATATCTCTAGGAATTTAATCATTTCTACTAAGTTGTCCAGTTTGTTGGCATGGAGGTTTTCATAGTATTCTGTTACAATTGTTTCTATTTCTGTGGTGTTGGTTGTTATTTCTCCACTTTCTTAGTGATTTTGTTTATTTGGGTCCTCTCTCTTTCCAAATAATTCAATTAAAAATAGGCAGAAGACATGGACAGACATTTCTCCAAAGAAGACATACAGATGTCCAACAGACATATGAAAAGATGCTCAGTGTCCTTCAACATTCGGGAAATGCAAATAAAAACTGCAATGAGATAGTAACTCACACCTGTCAGATTGGCTAAAATCAAAAACACAAGAAACAAGTGTTGTCAAAAACGTGGAGAAAAAACCCTCTTATAATGTTGGTAGGAATGCAAGCTGGTGCAACCAATGTAAAAAACAGTATGGAGGTTCTTCAAAAAATTAAAAATGGAATTCTCTATGATCCAGTAATTGCATGGTTGAATATCCAAAAAATACAAAAACACGAATTCAAAGACATACACACGTTCCTGTTTATTGCAGCACTGTTTACAATAGCCAAGCTATGAAAGTATCCCAAATGTCTATCAATACATGGATAAAGATGTGGTGGTGGTGTGTGTGTCTGTGTGTTTGTGTGTGTATAATGGAATATTATTCAGCCATTGAAAAAAATAAAATAGTGCCATTTGCAATAACATGGATAGAGCTAGAGAGTATAATGCTAAGTGAAATAAGTCAGAGAGAGAAATACCTTATGATCTCATTCATTTGTGGAATTTAAGAAACAAAACAAGCAAGCAAAGGACAAAAGAGAGAGAGAAAGAGAGAGAGGCAAACCAAGAAACAGATTCTTCAATATAGAGAACAAAATGATAGTTACCAGAAGGAAGGTGGCTGGAGGGATGGGGAAATACGGGATGGAGATGAAAGAGTACACTTACCATGATGAAAGAAAGAAAATAAAAATATAACATGATTTAAAACAAACAAACAAACAAAAGAACATGAGTCGGCCACACTTGAAGTTGAAGGATGGTATGATCAGGGCCCTGAATTGGAATAGTCATGGTATGTTAATTCATTTTTTCGCTAAGCAAATACTGATTAGGGCCTCATATATGCCAGGCTTTGATGGAATTGTGCAGTTTACAAATCTGTCAAGACTTGGCTTTTCATTAAGCATACACTCTAGACAGGGGAGAGAAGTTAAAATGAATAAAAATTAAACAGATAAATGCACATGATGCTTCTGGAACATAGCGAGATGAGCAACTGGAGATATAGACAGAGTAC